ATAATGTTTAAACTGACCAGAAATTATATTACGAAAATAATATTGATTGATTGAAAAGGCCTGTTATTCAAAGTACAAAAATATTCTTAACAGAGATTAGTCCAAATAGGTGAATGACCGAATGACAGATATGACATTAATATTACTTTTACGATTTAATCTGACGACGGTTACTCACGGTCAGTTAGGAAATAATATCATAACGAGATTAAGCCGTAAAAGTTGTTCCAAAAAGTTCTGCTACTGGCGATAACCTTTGAAAATGCTAAATATATATAAGATCATAATAAAAAACCAATATACAGATATTAAACATATTAGAAAAGTTTGATTATTTCAGTAGAAGATTAAATAGTGTTATATTAGACGTATTTTTCATTGCTCCATAACCAGAATACATTGAGACGCCTCCTGCACTCTGTTCTCGTTAACATTATCAACAGCCGTGCGCAAATAAGAAGTTTAATTAGCTGACTCTAAGAGTCCAAGTGCGGTTGGTTTGTTTGAACAATGGATGTGGAACGCTCCTTTGTTTCCCGCTGGCACGTAGACATTCGAGATTGGAAAGACATAGACCAAACGACCAAATGTCGATGAAGCTGTAATTGAAGCCATGAAGGGTGAGACCAGAGTAGCCTAATTGCTATTTTGATAATACTAGTTTGAAAATGAGATAAAAAAAATCGGTTGTCTGTAAAGTCGGTTTACTGACGATAGTTGAACGTGACAACGTCATAAGAAAATACTGATGGAATGGTTTCATTTTTCAATTATCGCAATTGTCATTGCTATAAACAATTGACACCACATTCACTTTTCACTGAACTTCATACTTGACGAAAACATGTAAATGTATTATTGTATAGCAGCTGTCCACGCGGATGCATCGCTCACTCAAGTAGGAGAGAGACATATGTCGAAGCTGCCGAACACGGAGGCCGATTGTGCCTCTTTGTCGCTCGTTGCGCGCTCTCGCTTGCACTTCAAGCCTTAAATGGAACGCCTAAGAGCGAGGTAACGCCGCATGAGTCATATTTTTTCGTGCGTGCAGCCGGCTCAATCGAATTATAAGACGTTCGTCACGTCAAAACACATTCAGGTTTTATTTTTGTCTTATCAGAAATCGTCTGAAAAGGGAAGTATGTTTGCAAGTGCTTTACGATCGCTCTGTGTGCTTAGTACGAGTTTTTTAACGTTCTCGATAGCGTAAAAGTTAACTTATATTTGTATACAGTTGGAACAGCGCCCCTAGCGGCAAAAGTAGGCAAACGTATATTTCCACCTGCATACAAGTTTGAGTTAACTTTTACGCTATCGAGAACGTTAAAAATTTCGCACTAAGCGCACAGTGGCCTTTTTGTTGGCAGTGAGAATGATTAAGGTAAATCATTTGCTCTTTTAACAGCACAAGCTAATTCTAAGCTTGGATAGTCGTTTGATAATAACGATAGATCGAAAATACTTTTAAAGTTTATTCTCGAGTTTTTTTATTGTTATTTATTATATTGTTTCGGAAATTTCGATTACTTTACTGTTTTCGTGGTCTCGAGTAACTATTTTAGCCGTATATTTAACCGTTAAAGTATTTTTAATTTTGTTTAAAATTGAACAAAACACTATGATAGTTCAAATTTAGGGGATAATTATATAAAACTAGTATTGGTTATGGCTTTCCAAACTAAATACGTAGCACAGTGAGGGTTAAAGTCTGAGTGAGCTGGAGTTGTGAGTTAGTAGCATTAAATACAAGTCAAGATGTCGTTAGGACGTTTGAGGGGACAGGCCTTAGCTTAGATTTTGTGCTGTGATACTGAAAATATACACGAAACAGTAGGGCGATCAGTTAGTTATAAGAAGAAACATAAACTGTCTAATATCGGCTATTAAATTATAACAGTTTTGTCAACAACAAAGCTTTAAATTCCATTAAAACAAATCCAATTTTTAAATAATAGTAGAAAGTGGTACTTATAAAAAATCGGTGCATAACCAATAAAGTAACAACGCGCTTGAATGAATCCCAGCCAGTCCACTCGAAGCGTCAATATTACTGTCTGCAGCGCTGCAGCGCTTGCGTGGATTAGCCGTTATTGCTTGTCTAATGTAAGCAATAAAACTCGAGGCACAGGCCCCGGTCGCCGTACAGCCAGACGTTACAGTCTTTTGTGCAACTCATAACCTTAAAACTGAAGTGGCTGTTATGGATTAAGTGTCATTAGACTTTATTTACGCTGTAAAATAAGTTGGACGCAATATTTTTTTGGATTTGAATTTCAATCAGAAGAAATTGTCTGAAATACGATTTTTTTATTTTATTGTTCTGATTAAAATATACAAAAAGATAATCCTTGGACGTATATTTTAAACTTTTATATTGGTATCACAATAGAGTTTTGTTTAATTAGAAAAATGCTAATAATAAAATCGCTGTAATAAATTTAAATGTTAATTCAAAATTTATTTTCTAACGATGTCTATATTATATAACATGAAATAAAAATCTCAAAATCTAGACATCCAAACAGATTCTTAAGCGATCTTAAGCAGTACACAATACGGACTAACAACCCATACGGAATACTAAAAGACGTTTATATAAAGTGAAATCGACTTAAGCGCCCGCCAACGTACGCCAGCGAAACGCCACTTCGCGCAATACAGAACGACCGTCCAATTTCGCTGAGCACATACTGAATTATCAGAACCGTCGACTGTGTGTAGTCGTGTACATACATACGACTCCCCTGTGTTACCGGAAATCCAGGGCTCAAACAAAGATAAGAAAGTTGCATTTGAATTTTGTTCTTCGACGGTACTTTATCGCTTTATATCGCGGTTGATGTTATCCTGACCTTAAAGAATAACAAAGGTTTTTGATTCGCGTTATATTCGTTTATTGTTTGATTTTTCGAAATAAATAAACTCATATTACAAGATGGCCGCTAATTCTAAAAATTAAGATGGCCGCTAAAATGTTAGCAGGCTTAAATGGTATACAATGATTCAGTTTCATAGATTTCGCGCGTAAAATTAAGCTCTCTTAAATGAATTTCTTAAATTTTTAAATAACTCTGGTGCCAATACGAAGCAAAGCTAATTAGATTGTCCCTGATCTGTATTAAATAGAATGAATGAGTAAGGTCAACGAATTGTGACAGTTTGTAAGTCAAGAGAAAATTTAAATGGGGAAACTGTTAGTACCCAATAAATATGGTGATCACACTATCTCAGATTCTATTGGAGTGCTATTAAAAAAAATATGATAAAATAATTATGTTCGGTAACTTGCGACAGCATTTAAAATGCCAAATAATTTTCCTGAAATTCTGTGTTATCTTCTGCACGATGGCAACACCCGCAAAACTCGTTTAGCTTAAGCTGTAAAAGCGCTAATCTCGCCACAGATTAGTGAGGTTACGCGCACCCTTCGAGGGATCCCGATACTATGCCAGATACGACCCTTGGAGTGATTTAGAGGTACCTTTTGTCTGTTTCAATTACACAACTTTAGAAACACAGTTTGTTGAATCTTGATTTGCTGTGGCCATTTCCGAAGTCAAACTTCTTTACGCCCCAATTGCTTTCATTTATATTTTAACCGCTTAAGAACAAGACCAGGATGCGGACCGCACATTGTGCTTATGAAAGAAATAAAGTGAGATATTCTATTGTCGGCTTTTTCTGGAAAAAAAAAATATTTTGAAAAAAATTAAACATTACTTACCATTTTTATATTTATTTGAATTGGGTTTTATTGTCGATGATAAATGAATAATAACAATCCGTGCTCTCAGTTTTAAAGACGAAGTTCGTTAGAAATGATTGATGAAGGGAAACGGAACAAATTTCAAATTCAGACGATTGTAAATCGAGAGCAGATGTCCCGAAGTTTCTCGGAGAACCGTTGCCGAAATACATTATTCTGTCAAGCCGTTACCCCAATAGGAGGGCCGTGATAAAAGATTTAACAATATGGATAGTCACGTAAGGAAGCTTACCTTGGAACTAATAAAAAACATTTATGTCCCACAGTAAACTATTAGGCGAAACTTCGTCTCATAGGACGGGCCGAATTCTTTCTATAAATCACCTGACTTTGTCAGCAGTAACCGAAAAATATATACTTGTCCTTTTTTATCCTAGTAATCTTGTGTTTGACCATCTCATTCTGGCTTCCATACATCAAGCGCTAAGAGTGGTAAGCCCCGAAAATGAGTGTTTATTGTTGGACCGGAGGAGATGTATTTCGGTTTCAATATGAACTTTATTGCTTTGGGTTAAGACGGGGGGATGGAAAGTATATCCTCGGGTTCAGGTGGTCGGATGACCAGCTTATCTGGCCGTTATTCTTGCGGCAGATGTTCGTAGTTTGCGTGGTCTCTACACGGATTAGTCCGATTTGCCGTGAAAAATTCTGCAAGTTGAATACTGGAAATTTAGGGTGAATTGTAACGGAGAAAAATAGATACCTTTTAACGGACTTTAATAGAAAAAAAAAAAATGTTGTCATTTTACTGTAGAACACAAATAAGATGAATAAGAGGTAGATATGTGAAATGAAACTGATATATGACTTATAACTTGACAATTGCTTGACGCTACATCTCGGCTCTACACGTGTGAGTTAGGGACCATTCAATACGTAAGACATGGGAGATGGTTTATAAAACCTCCAATATTGCCAAAATTATTAGGTTTTATGAAAATGATTTGTTTATTGGACAGACGGGTGACCCAAGTGTTAGTGATTACTAGAGTCCTTAGACATTGAAATGTGAATATCACCACAACTTTGATACATCTGGTCTAAGTCTAAATTACATAGTACAACGCCGTTGAGGCCGAAATGGTCAGCCTGGTGATCAGCTACCAATTCGGGCATACGGCACCCTAGCACCTGTATGTTAAATTGGAATCGTTGCTAATCAATAAAATAGTAGTTAAGTGATCATTTTTCGTATACCTTATAAATTGGACTAATTAGGTTCTTGTTCTACCAGTGTCGGAGCAAGGTCCACACGAAAAACGTCTGCTGAACGCCCTGCTGGCGTCTTACAACACCCTGGAGCGTCCTGTGGCCAATGAGAGCGAGCCCCTAGAGGTACGCTTTGGGCTGACACTGCAACAAATCATAGATGTGGTAAGTGTTCATCTTTTGTGCAGTAGAAATGGGATGAGAGTTGAGGTGTTCGCGTTTGATTGATTTACGGAGGCAATAGTGTGGTTGATAGAAGTGTCATTATTACCAGTAATGAACCAATACACTAATGTGTTTAACATGATGCTTACACTTACTAAGACCACAATCGTCCAAACATCGTTGAGCCTCAAGAGACAGACATCAAATTTGTAGCAAAATGTTGATTTTATCTTAAATGGCTTAGATAATTGAGCATTTCTCCAGTTAAATCAATTAAATCAAATATGTATATGAACAAAAACTATAACATTAAAATTTCATGTTTTCAGCGTATTTTTAAATAAGAGAATATTAATATTTTTCATGTTCTCATCTATAAATCTCATCTACAACCTGTGTGTTAAATGTAATATTCTATTTTCATTAATGGTGTGTACAAATTGATATTATATAATATAAAGATTTTATTTTGATCAGAATACGAAAAGTTGACATACGTGGACTCAAACAAGATTGAGAGAGTCTGTTTTTTTGCTTTCAAAATATTTTATCATTAAAGTTATAAAGGTCAACATCATCATGAATTCAAATTTGTAATGGAACTTCCAATTGTTTCTAACGTACCTGCACATGTGTGAACTAGTGTTTGCGCAATTATACTATATTCATTCGATCACAACCATTGACCCATCACGTTTGATAAGTTATGTTTTTTTTTTTGTAAATAAAAAGAAAAAATCTTTAATAATTTTATCGGTAAAACTAAATTCCATTAATAGCTACCAATAAAAAAAAGGAAAATCGGTTGGTAATCAGGTCATAATCAGTTTTGTCTTAATTCTAAGCATATATGTCTAGGTTGAAACCCTAAAAACAAATTCATACATACAGGAAGCCGTATTAAATATATTTTTGTTACTGACCTTGTGGCTTTGAGCTTTTTAAAGGACTAAGTGATATAATAACATCCATCCAACATGTATTATTCCATATGATATCATTAGAATTAAACTTGAATATAATTATCCTGCCCTTCTCCCAGTCACCTGGGGTCGGCGCAACATGTTTTCTCCTTCCATACTCTTCTATCATTTACCATTTCTTCGCTCACTCCCCTCTTAGCCAAATCATCTTTCACGCAATCCATCCATTTCTTCTTAGGTCTACCTCTTTCTCTATATATCCTTCCACATTCATAGTTAACATTCTCTTACCAACCTCATTTTCATTTCGTCTCATCACATGTCCATACCATTCCAAAGGCGCACTTCTCAGCTTCTCTGTCACAGGTGCCATTTTCAGACTTCCTCTAACATTTTCATTCCGTATTCTATCCATTCTCGTTACTCCACACATCCATCGCAACATTCGCATCTCTGCTGCATGCAATCGCAATAAACTCGAATATAATTGTTTATTAATAATGATTAATGAAATATTAATTTGTACAACCCATAGTGCCCTTATTCTGACGGAAAACAGAGTTTACTGATGAATCCTGAACTAACTCATGATTAACGACGTTTTTCATTAATATTTACGTAGTTTTAAACATAGAATTTTTATTTCAAATCTTATGAATATATTTTTGTATAGTTCTACCATCGTATTGTGAAAAACAACAATTTGAATTTTTTGAAACCTCTACACCTACTTCTCCCTTAACATAGCTTTTCTTACCTAAATTGCGTTGTTGAGAACTTACCTTGGGCTTAAAATTATTATCCTACAAGTGTATTGGATTGACATTATTAATTTTATCCCACCTTTTCCAGAGTCCATAGACACCCACCGTATACATCTACAGCGTAAATGCCACCGTCCACCGTGAGATATGAGTTCTAAGGTCTCAGTATAGATACAGCGGCTGCCTCACCCTTCAAACAGAAACGCATTACTGTTTCACGGCAGAAATAGGCAGGGTGGTCTTACTTACCCGTGCAGACTCACAAGAGGTCCTACCAGTACAAAAGGTCCTATCTGTCTGATTTTTATGTCCGGTATAGAGTGATATGCATTTTGGCTCCATGATTCATGAACTGGCCGGTGGTATCTTGATTTAATTTACATGCAAATAACTCAATAACCAGTGGCTGCGGTGTTAAGTGGCGCAAGTTTTACGATTCGGCAGCACGCGTCTCGGTTTACGAGCTTGAGGTCTCTTTACGACTGACGTTACTCAAACATTGACTGCATACGGTCTCGGATGTGGCATGTTTAATGGTGCGGGATGCTGTTAAGTTTTGGAACAGTCTTGTCGGTTCAAAATTTTTGAATACAATAGAGTAGAAAGACTATTGACCGCGAAAGACAAAATAAACGTATTTAATGAAGTAATTAGCAACGTTTTATGTTTTACTGGTGGTAGGACCTTTTGTGAGTCCGCGCGGGTAGGTAACACCACCCTGCCTATTTCTGCTGTGAAGCAGTAATGCGTTTCGGTTTGAAGGGTGGGGCAGCCGTTGTAACTATACTTGAAACCTTAGAACTTATATCTCAAGGTGGGTGGCGCATTTACGTTGTAGATGTCTATGAGCTTCAGTAACCGCTTAAAACCAGGTGGGCTGTGAGCTCGTCCACACGTCTAAACAATAAATAAATAAAAAACTTTCGAGTCGGTATCTTCATTGCTGAAGGTCGTGTCTAGTTTGAAGACTGTTCTCTGACCACACGTTACATTCTAGACACGTCGGTGAGTGATGCTATCAGTTTTGACCAACGGTTAAGTGATCGAGAATGTGGTCCTTTTCCATTTACATCGTCTATTACTATCAGCTTTTCGACATTGTTAGGTTTCTGCGAGCAATTTATCCAAAGCAGTTAATTATACGCTGATAGCATATAGTAGACAGGCTAGTTATTGTGGGAAGCTCTTTGAGAATGGACAATTTTGTTCGGCGAGCAATCTACGGAATGCGAGTAAATTTAAGTGTGCACCCTTGGTATGCTTGTGCTTAAATGATCAGCATATCAGCATAAATAATCACAAACAAAACATATTGTATTTAAATAGAATATCATTTTTTTTTACCGGTAGCTATATTTCGTGACGTCACGTTAGGAGACAAAAAACTTTGTATTAAAAATAAAATCCGGACGTTCAAACGAACATACGATACTACTCTTCAATAAATACATGTCAGTTTTCATCACACCGTGAGCTCATACGCCCTTCTATGTACAAAAATAAATAAAAATTTTGGGCTTTCTCTTATCCAAAATTAAATTTATATCCAACATAAAAAAATAATTTTTTTTTTAAATCAGTACATACAATATCATAAGTATCGTTATATCGTTGTAGCGGGCTTAGCTTAGACAGTCTGTGTCGAGTCGTCGCACAATAAACAGGTTGCAAACTGTCGTGTCTTATTAATAATTATCACCACATAATACCACACACGCTCTATATAAGCACAGACTCCACATTGGTGACCCCGACGTGATTTGCTGACGACGTGACTGAGGCGTGATTATAGTGGTGATGAACTGTAACAATTTATAGTGAAAGACATTACGTGTTTTAAGGTGAAAAACTGAAACTGTTAGATTGTGCAATTTACATTATAAAAATTATTTCACCATGGCTGAGGAAGGATTTAAGACGGATACGGGCGTGTTAGCAGTGTCGGTGGCAGCTAGAATTCCTGATTTTTGGCAGGATCAGCCCCGATTAATTATGGTTTATACAGGTCGAAGCCGTACTACAGTCCCAACACTTGGCAGATATAGCAAAATATCATATTGTCATTGCTAAGCTGGGGAAGCAAGTGATAGAGCAGGTAACAGATATTTTATTAAAACCCCCAGAAGAAGGAAAATACGAAGCCCTTAAGAGAAGACTTCTCGTAATATACGAGGAGTCAGAAAATCGACAAATACAAAAGTTAATAGGAGAAATGGATTTAGGTGACCAAAGACCATCGCAACTCCTGAGAAGAATGAAGGAGCTGGCACGAGATAAGATCACGGATGAAACGCTTACGGTTTTGTGGCAAAATCATCTGCCAGCCGCTGCACGCGCAGTATTAGCCGTGACGGATACCAAAGATATTTCGACCTTGGCAACGATCGCCGATAAAGTTATGGAGAATATGAAACCCACGAACAGCGTCGCCGAAGTCACCAGCTCCAAACAAGTGGACTCAGCAATGGCTGCCGAGATAGCCAAGATAAATGTCCGGTTAAGCAAGATCGAAGGTGCAGGAAGAGCTTCCAGACCATTCTTTCACCGGAACTATTCCCGAGATGGAAGGTCAGCGTCCCGCGGACGAAGAGGACGTACTCCTCGTCGTACTCCAGCAAGCGAGGATTGGGTATGCTTTTACCATTACAAATATAAGGAAAAAGCACACCGGTGTATAGAGCCTTGCGCCTGGGAGAAGAAGCAGGGAAACTAACCACCGCGCAGTCATCACTGGCGGAAGTCTGCAGCGGAACAAATTACCGCCTAAGTGTTACGGACCGTTGTAGTGGATTACGTTTTTTAATAGACACTGGTGCGAATATTTCGGTATTGCCACGTAGTAAAGTGCAAAAAAACGTTAGCAGTGAGTGTACAGACTATACATTATATGCGGCCAATGGAACTATGATTAGAACTTATGGACTAAAAACTTTATTACTAGATTTAGGGTTACGTAGAGCATTTCGCTGGACTTTTGTAATAGCTGACGTACGACAGCCGATCATAGGTGCCGATTTTTTAGTACATTTTAAGTTAATCGTAGATTTAAGTACACGTAAGCTTTTTGATGATGTCACAAAGTTGAACGTTTTTACTGGGATTGTCAACAGTAACGAACAATCAGTAAAAACGGTAGACGTGACACATCCATTCTACCAGTTGTTGGCCGAGTATCCTGATATTACCAAGCCAATATCATTCAAGGAACCGCCCAAACATGCGGTCTACCACGAAATTATTACCACGGGCCCGCCGGTCCACGCTAAGGCGAGGCCGTTGCCACCGCACCGATACGCGAAGGTTAAAGAAGAAT